AGAACTACAAATCACAATGAGATGTCATAATCACTAATAGCGCTCTTCACTAGAATAGCAAACTTCCCTGTCACAAAGGATGCAGTTGCACAGGAAGTACAAGTTCAGAATTAAGTCTATTAGGGATGGGTCCCAAGATGGAAAGCTTGGATCCTCACATATCTCTTTCCCCAGAATTCAGGTATAAGAGCTTGATTTGAACCTATCTTTAAACTGCATTTAATGTACTTATTAGCAAGTCACAGTAAATTAATCTTAATCCTATATTATCTACATGCTTATTGAAAGCAGCTTGTTTTAGGAAGCTTTATTTAACTCTAAACTGTGATTCTAAAAGATTTAATTTCACATTTTTGCCATTAGAGTCTCAGCTCTTCTCACAGACGTTTTTACAATATAATGCTAACTAACTAGTTTTTGCTAACATATGGATACAGATGTAGTATACAGATTACAGTATATCAAAAATACTAAGATGTCAACCCTAACTCTGACTCTGTACTCCTATGGTGATATACAGTCATATTGGGTAGGGACACACTTGCACAGTCACATTCAGCCATCTTGTCAGTATAAGCAAGTGTTCCACAGGTAGCAGAACCAATGTCACTTTTTATATCAGCCTTTGAATTTACCAATTATTGGACATGATTTTAAGATCACTGGAAATGAATGCATATTCTGTTTGAGCAATTGTAACTGTAACCACTCTTGAATCTCCTAGACTCAGAGAGTAAATAACAAAAAATCTAATCCATGTGTGATAAAAAAAAATAAAGATGTTTTTAGCTTGTTCATCTGTGCCTACATCTGTTCATAGATTTTTGTTAAATACCTGTAAATTTTGCTGTCCTTTTTTGCCAGTTTTTAAACTTATATTTGGCAGGAATTTTGCAGAAAACCTGAAAGGAGAAAATACATGTAGAAAAAATTCCCTCTCTCTCTTTGTTGAGCAAAACTCACTTATGCAGAAAAATTAAAGTGGTCCCCTGGCCATGACACTTTGGGTGCCTGTACAAGAACGTGGAGGTTGCTCTGATGTGCTGTAATTACAGCATGTTGGAGCAGTCTCAATTAATTGAGTCTGCTGGAGCATGCCAATTACTGCGCTCTAAGGAGCCACCTGCATCTTGCATATCAGTCTCTCTGCACTTGAAAATGGTGGCAGGGACATTTGAACAAGCTTCAGTTCAAATACCCCTGTCACCATTTTCAAGCACAGGGATGCTGATACACAAGATGCTTCAGCATTTTAGTTACAGCGGCTCCAATAGCAGCTCTAATTAAAGTGCCCACCCCTTTCCCCAAGCATGCGTAAAAGTGCCCTTTATGTTGGAATCCTCTCACATCTGTCAGGGAAGGCTGGGTCATTACTTAGGTGAGAGAAGAACTGCTAGAAGTAGTACTGTGGAAACGGTACTGTGGAATATGGCACACTGAACAGAGTTCCTACTAATTCAGAACTGAAGAATGAGGGAGCACTTTGTTAGGGCATGCATATAATGTTCACTCAAGAATTGATGGCCCTCTTTGAAAAAGCTGGAGACTGCTCACAGGTATCTCTGCAAGCTCCTTGTTAATGTATCGAAGTTCGCATCTATATGTTATACTTAACACATGATTAACCAATTAATTACAGCTTCAGGTGTTACCTGTCACACATTTAGATCGACTAATGGCGTGATAAAAGGAGGAGTAAGTCACAAAGTTATTCCAAAAAACTGGTGCGTCTGCATGTCCATATTAAAGTGATGCAATAAACTCTGCTGCTTATCACAGCATGTTGAGCTGGGTTGGAGCAGCTCCAGCTAGCAGGGGGCCCAGGGGGTCAGTCTGCCAGCCAAGGGCTGCTCCCCACTGGCTCATCCTGCTGCAAAAGGGCTGTCTGGAGCATGAGGTTGTTTCACTGTGGGACTAGCCAGCAGGCAGCACCTTGTGCCCCAGCCAGCCAGGGCAGCATCTACATGTGTACTGCTGCCAAGTGTTTTAGTCCACAGCATAATAGTACTTGTATTTCTTTACAAGTACTTTACAAGTACTGAAGAGTAAATTAATTTATTCCAGACTAATAGGTGCACATGTTTAGATGCACAATGTTTACTGTGCTAATAAATCTCATGTAGACATGCCTAATGTGTAGTAACTTTGTAGCTCCTTACTAACATGCATGAACATGTGGCTGGGAGCCCCATCAACTGATCAGGCTCTCAGCTGGGGGCCTATATACACCCCAGAGACTGAGAGCTCACAGCTGACAGGGTTGCCAGCTGCAGGGATGCCTCAGGCACCTCCATGGCTGGGAGACCACATCAACTGCGATCCGCCAGCCATGGGGCTGTCTGTACACTCGACAGCTGGGAGCTCCATTATGTGTGGAGTGTCCCAGCCACAGAAGTTTCTACTTATTGGTGTGGAGTAGCCAATTATGATCCTGTACTAGCAAAAAGTCATGACAGGATCTAGTTCTAGCTGTGCTCCATCACTCCCAGAAGCAGAGATTGGCCCTACAGCCACTACCAGATAAAGAAACAGACACTAGATATAGGAGTTACTGACAGTGGTCTTCATGAGGTGCTGGCAATTTAATGGTAAAGGAAGGTGTCAGTATCCCAAGTCTGGCACATGGTCTTAGACTGAAGGAAAGGGTTGCTATGGTTCACATGAAAACCACTCTGAAATTAGACTGATAAAACTTGAGCACTTTAGCTCAATTAAGAACCCTAAATTACTGAATGAAAATTAGATATATTATGCCTACCAGATAGTGCATTTTGGAAGCCTCTCCTCTGCCAAATAAACCTTGGTTTGGATGGCTAAAGAATATCTATATTCTCCTCCAGACACATGTACTGAAAATCACTTATCCAATATTTCCCTGCTGTTTAAAACAAAACATACATTTAAGAATTAAAGATGGCAGCATGCGGACAGATATGCTGGCAGTGAGACTTGCAAACTTCCCCTTTTATAAGATTTATAAAACACTCCTTTGGCCTAGGTGCAAAATGACAAACAATGAGAGGGCATTACTAGATTGAGATTCACTTTAATGAGATTTGCAATCACCATGGGCAGGTCGTGTTGGACTCCATATTCAGACAGATTATGCTTTTGTAGAAAGATAGTGATCGGTGACTTAAATAATTATCTGTGGTCTCGTATGTTTTTAAAGAAATGAGAGGGAAATTAATATCTTCATTAATGGCAAATATTAAATAGTAGGCTAATGAAGAAAAACAAATCTGGATTCTTTTTGTCCTATACACCTTAGGTATAGGTGCTACTTGAACCAAAAATAAGGGCCCAAATCAAATCAAATAGAATTTTCCTCTTTTATTTTATCGTTCATGACTTCATTTTACATTTTCTTTAATATCATCATACATCATGTTCTGTTTTAATTTTGTGTAAACTAGTACAATGGATAATCTTATTATATACTTTTAGTAAAATTACAATTTATATAAATGCTGTTTTTATAATATCATTTTATTGTTATTTTATTGTACTGTTTTGGCAAAAGCTGTAAATAAACTTCTACTTCTGAAGGAAAGGCCAGCAAGGTTTGACTCTTTTAATCAGTCATTTGAAAGAAAACACAAAATCACAAATAAAAAAGTTTGCAAATCACACTGATTGAGGGAGTATTAAATAGCTGAGAAAACAGGTCACTGATGCACTGCAAACTGCTCTGTTTGATAGAATGGGCTAAAAAATATTATATATAGGGTCATATCTCTAGGAAGAAAGTAAGTGATACTTTACTGGAAGCAGCGATTCTGAAGAGGACTTTGGGGTCATAGCGAATAATCAGCCAAACATGACTCCCAGTGCCGTTCTGTGACTGAAAGAAATGATGAGATCAAGGAAGGGGAAGCACTAAGCTGATAGCCCCTGGAAGCCTGCATCCAGTTCTGGTGTCCACAGTTCATTATGTCTGAGCCCTCTCCAGTTCTTCAACAGAACCATGAAAATGATTAAAGTGTTGGAAAACATGCCTTATAGGAACTCAATGGATATAGCCCCCCCAAAAAGAAAAGATTTAGGGGTGACTATCATTAACTAATATTAGATAACTGCGCTGTTCCAGCTCCAAGGAGAAAATTCCCTTAGTGGTGACCAAAGTATATCTGTATCCCTTACTAGCCCTGCAGTGATGTTGCTTGACTTAAAAAGGCTTTAATGTTATCAGGTGAGAGACCACGACTAAATTCTATCCTTACATCCATGCCTGATTTCAATGAGAGTTATGCATGAGAGATAAGAATTTTTTTTGGCATTGTTAAATTTTGCATGCAATACATGACCTCTTATAGGACAAGACAATTGACAAGAAACATGGCGATATTATGATTTGTGCTGCATTGTAACTTATGACTGCTTTTTCTGCACTAAGCTTTTACATTTTTGAAAACTAACTGCCATTTTGTGAGGCAGTGTTAATACAGTATATAAGAGAAGTGCACTTTCCCATTATATTTTTTTCTCATTTCCTCTAATCTGAATTTAAGCATTCAGACTAAGTGCAGATGGCTGCCTTTTGTGCATGAGGTGACAAACAAATGCTGTTGTACTGGCTGTAAAAATGGGTCACATTCTGCTCTGTGAAACCCTACTGAAATCAAATGAATAGAAGAAAAAACAGTATATGGCAAACAACGTAGGAAAATACTACTTTTAACATGTGAGTAACAAAGCAGGATGTTGCACTACATTCAAGTATACATAGATATATAAATGGAAGTTTTCTGATTATTATCGACATGTTAAAATGTTTGTTCTGAATAAGGAGCATAGTAGACAGAAAAACCTGTCAAAAGTCTATCAAGCATGCAGAAGTATTGTTTTGGGATGAGGCACTTCCTGGCTTCTGGTATTCTGAGCCCAAGAATAAATATAGACAAGCAGTGTGGAGGGGAAGGGAAAACCAATTCCACAGCAGCACTTTCAGTTCCATGAAACAGAGTTCTGTTTATCACTTCTGAACCACTTGGCTTTTATCTGAAGACACTGAAAAGGAGGCAGCTGAAACATTAGCTAGAGCCTATAAAGCAGTGTTCAAGTGCTTATCTGGTTTGGCCAACATGGTTTATTTAAATGCTACTATTGCTTACAGCACTTCATGAAATGAAAACAGGAAGATACCATGTCTGGCACCTAAAATACAACATGCAGGCAGAGGTCCCAAAGCAGTTTGCAAGAGAGGCGGAAAACCCCACACTTTCCTACTCTGCCATCTCACGCTGTCAAGAATGCAAAGTAATGAATGTACTTTTCTTCGCATCTGTACGACTTATGGTAAGTGTTGTATTTTTTTAAAGGAATTTATGCATTCTTTTGTAACATATGCTTAGTGAACATATACTTATCCTGTATTTAAACAACAATGGAAGTAAACTACAGGCACTATGGGAGGAGTTCAAAGATAAGCATGTAATCCATTCTGTAGGTAACAAGAAAGACATGATCTTGCAAACCTTTTACATGTATGAAAAGCCAGTGGTAGCAATGTATATGGGGGGACAGAAGGCCTGGGCTAGATTTCAATAACTCTTGTATTAAGTAGACTGTTTTACAGTTACAGGGTGCTGTCCCTTCCAGACTCCAAAAGCAGTGACTGCCACACTGTAGCAAGGTTCAGACAAGTTAATTGTTTCACAGACAAAGTTGTTGAAAAGCAACACAGAAAAACTGCTATTGTTAGGGTGGATGGCAGCAACCAACTAATACATAGTATGGTACACAAAATGACCCATTACAAGAACAGCCATATTAATAGACTCAGTAAATTCAGTGCTTCCACATCTCAGTGAATGCAACCACAAATTAAACAAAAATTGATTTTCTGCCTCCACAAGCAAGGAATAATTACATACAATTGTTTATCATATATTAACTTAAGATGCTGGTTCATATTCATAAGATATGTTCATGATAAGAAAGACTTAATTAAATAAGGAAGAGAAGACAAAAATCTTCAGTCATTGAAGATTTTACTATGAAGTGTAATTTGTACAAGTCTCAATTAAAAAGATTTGAGCTTTGCTTTTTGATTTAACAGGAAAAATAGCATTATACAATATAAAAGAATAAAAATCAAATCAAATCAATTGATCATAAAAAATATTTGTGATAATACAATAAGGTGAGAGTATATTTATGGAATAGACCATTACAATTCTGTAGTGGAAAATATTTTTAGGCTTCACTTGCATGGAAATATCTGGTTAACCACAAGGAAAAAAAAATGAAAAAAAAGCAGCTAAGCCTCTCTTCTCTTAAATAACTGACACATTTTAAAGCTTCATACGCTATAGCATACTGAATAATTCAACATGAATAACTTTAATTTACCTCAATATATTCATTCAGGATATAACAATTAGGTCTTATTAAAGATCCTTTTTTAAATTTCATTCATAGTAAGGTTTTGTTGCTTCTTTTGCTATTTGTGACTGATAAAGCTACAGTATTATCTGGAAAAGAGCTACTGACTTCAATGCAGCTAAACAAAAAAGAAAAAAAGTGAAACCTGAGAAGTTAAGTCACTTGTTAAAGGTTCTGTCCTGTCCTCAGAGAGCACCTGGCACCAAAGCTGCTCCACAGGCCTTATCCAAAACGTGCTAAAGTCAGAGTAGCTTTTCCTTTGTATTGAACATGTGAAATCCATTCAAATCTTTTCATCTGAAATGTTATATGGGTAAATTGTTCTCTCTTTAACAGGTTTCACCCCTTTTGATCTGCAAGTTTCATCAGTTCCCCCACTCTTGCATTCTCAAATACAAAGTGACTCAAGTCCACAACAACCATTTTGATAAGTCTGCATTTCACCTATCAGAGGTTAGTTTTTCTGATACTAGGTTTTTGCTGCTCTTTCAATAACAAGATGCACCATAGGAAATAGTTTTCAAACACGGGCATGTCTACATGTTGTCCTATGGAGTATTTCCTTTTGGAAGTACTAAAGCATGGCACAGTAACTGCCGGTACTGTGCTGTGCACATAGCATGCAGTTAGTTTTAGCTGCTACATCACTGTATGAATGGTAGTATTTTACTTACAACAAAGTTAAAAAAAAGAAAAGAAAAGAATGGGAAGTGAAGAGTTCATGCATATGAGATTATTTTTTTTGAGGGTGACACCATAATATTTTGGAGTTTTATAATCCTGTGTAGAGGAAAGTTGGGGTGTTCTCAATACCTTAAAAATTAGGCCCCATGTGATTTAGAAACATTAAACTGGAAGGGATAATCTGGGCCATAGGCAGGTCCTTTTGGAGGCCAGAGGGTAATGGGCAAGCCATGTATCAGACAACCATGTAGGGTATGGACACGTACATTTGGAGCCATTTCAACCAGTGAAACAACTCCACTTTCAACATTGCTTTATCTAGAATTAAACTTGAAGCAGATCAGCAGCTTTCCCTTTGAAATGACTCCAAATGTACACGTCTATAGAAGCATCATCAGAAACTCAGGATATTTCAAATAGAAAACAAATACAAGCAAAAAACTATGATGTGCCACTGAAAAAGAACAGGTGAAACCATTAATGCTTTATTCAAGGTCAGACAAAGGTAACAGCAGAACCTGGAATATAACCCACAAATACTCATTGCAGACTGAATCCTGGAGAGAGCAACAAGCCTTTCCCATTTTAAAGATCAAATTCCTTAAAATACAGTTTTCCAAAATTCACGTTACGGATTTTTCACAGCTGTGTTATTAAAGAAAAAAATGCTAGTAAATTGCTGGAGGCAATGATTTTTATGGGTGATACTTTTTATTGGACCAACTGTTAGACAAGCTTGTTGCAGCAGTTGCTCCATGCAGCTGTTCCAATAAAAGATTCATAGATGTTAGGGGCTGGAAGGGACTTCACAAGATCATTAGGTCCAGCCCCACTGCACTTGGGCAGGAATATATCACCCACAAAGATATATCACCTACAAAAATCCTTGCTTCTTGCATAATTCTTGTACCACCACAGCTACATCTATCCAACACTACTGATAAATTGCTATAATTCTATCATGGTTGTATAATACAAATGGATTTCAGTCTTGCTTGAATTTCACTACCAACACCTCCATAACATATCTGTGTGTATTAAACAGAGTACTTTATCATGTAATATGCATGCCGGAGAACTTGCCTTGGGTTTGACTTGGAAGGGCAACCGCTTAAGGCAGCATTTCCTAATCTTGGGGTTGCAACCCCATTTGGGGTCACAATGATAAAAAATGGGGTCACGCACTCCCAGGGAGGGAGGCATGGGGGTACATGTGCCCTCCAGATTTGTGCATGGGGCAGGGGTGGTTGTAGGCTGCCCACTATGGGCACACGGCTCCCTGCCCTGCTGCCCTCTACTCAGGGCCTCCGAGACAGAGCTGGGAAGGGAGGGGAGGCTCAGTGTCACCACTGGGAGCCTCATGCACTGCCATAATGAGGCATCCCTGCCCACCCAGCAGCAGTAAGGGGCACAACTCTGCACCACCATTGCTGCTGCCGCCAGGTGATCAGGAGGTGCCTTGCCATTGCAGTGCAGACAGTGTGGAGCTCTCAACAGCTGCACCAAGACTCCTTGCCCTCCTTCTGGGCTTAAGAGGCTCTAGGGGGAGGGCAGCAGGGCAGGCAGCCCCAAGCCTGCAGTGGGTAACGTACATCCTCCTTCTGCCAAGGGCTCTGCTCCAGCTGTGCCATCCATGTGGGGGTGGAGGGGATGGGTGGGGGGAGCTGGGCTCCTCTCTGGTCGCAGCAACCACCACCTACCATGGACAGCAGCCAGAGCTCAGGTGCTGCTGGGGGGGTAGGGGGCTGTGGGTCGTGGCTCTGGTCATGTAACCCTGACAGCTGGGTGCCCCCACTGGCAGTGTTGTGGGGGGCGGAGGGCTGCAGATTGTGAGTAGAGGGTACCAGCAGAGCTGGGGTGGGGTGGGGGACTGTGGGTGGGGAGTGAGGGTCGCCTGGGGTGTGGGGGAGTGCAGGTTGGGAGTGAGAGATCATGCTGAGGAAATGGGGTCATGCTGAGGAAAACTTTGGGAAGCACTGACTTAAGGGCACATACATTGAAGTACATTAAAACATTATATGGATGCTCTCATTTAATCAGTTAATGGCCATTTTACTTGCCCAACCCAACCACAGAGGTATGACACACTTCAATATAAGCAATACTAAGTACAGACAGTCAAAAAGCCTGAGGCGGAATCAGTTTAATCTTTGCAGATTAATCTAAACCGTGTAGATTGAGTTGATAAGCAAGTGAACAGACATTCACTTCCGATTCCGGAAGTGCAGCTACATGCCTGCAGTGGCTCAGGCCAGAAGCTAGAGGGCAAGGGTAGCTCACCAACCCTACAAGGGGGAGTGGGGGGGGGGGCGTTATTGCAGGGGATGTG